AGACATAGATAGGTATGAACCGACTGAGATAGACATAGATAGGTATGAACCGACTGAGATAGACATAGATAGGTATGAACCGACTGAGATAGACATAGATAGGTATGAACCGACTGAGATAGACAGAGAACGAAAATGGACGAAAACGAACATCCTTGGTGGTGAAAAAATTCTGAAATACATTTTTTTATTTCATTTTAATCAGTCTGCTGACTTCATTTTGGAAGAAATTATTTTCTTCTTTTTCTCTACATTTCATTCTTTTTCTTCTTTTTTATGCTCATTCACATAACAGCAGATTAACAAGTCCGCTTCAATGCCTGACATAATCTTGGCTCTTCCTTTTAACATGGCCGGCACTGATATACTTTGAACGCCGGTAACAGACACACGCACACACATTACACGCGCACACACAAGCACGCACATATATACAAATATTCACGCACATATATACTTTCTTTTTCTTTCTTTCTTTCTTACTCAATGATTCATCGAAATAACCGTAGTCGCTTCCAGGCTATTAATACTAAAAGAAAAAATTCTCCAGACAACAGAATAATTGAGTTGCGTAATACTGTGTGTAAATTTACACACTTGTGTGTGTGTGTGTGTGTGTGTGTGTGTGTGTGTGTCTATGGTCGCTCGCACGACGAACATGAGTAAGAGTTAGGCTATTTGGAGAAAGGGTACTATTTTACCACTTCGAATAGACATATGTGTGCGCGACTATAAGTATGCATAATGCATTACTCTGAATTAACAAACGCTGTCGGATGATAAGTCTGAACTTTTCATTTATTCATTTACTATATATATATATATATATATATATATATATATATATATATAGCGTGTGTGTGTTATGTGTATATATTATATACATAAGTGTGTTATATATGTGTGTGTGTTATGCATATGAGTGCGTGCGTTATGCATATATGCATGCGTTATATATATATATATATATATATATATATATATGTGTCTGTGTGCCATGTATATACATGTGTGTGTGTCATGTATATATGTGTGTGTGTGTTGTGTATATATATATATATGTGTGTGTGCTATGTATATATATATGTGTGTGTATGTGTTATATATATATTATATATGTGTGTGCTTAAATATATACTATATAAATATACACGTTATATATAATATATATATATGTGTGTGTTTGTTTAGCATATATATATATATATATATATATATATATATATATATATATATATGTATGTATACTTATACATATATGTGTGTGTGTGTGTGGTTAGAACGTTCGCTTTCTGACCATGAGACCCGGGTGGCGATTTCAGCATGTGGCATCCTTGGAAAGTGCCTGAAACCATACCACGGTTTGACCCAAGCCTTGTGAGTGAAATTGGGTAGAAGAAACACTTTGGGGCCGTCGATAACTGTGCTAACACGAAGTCGCAAGTCATCGTGACCGAGGGTTTGAGTGTACTGGCCTTGTTCAATTTTTTGATAACACGCTCTCTCCCAGAAACTGTAACTAAGGTCTGCTCAGCGTACTTGCAGTATAAACCACAGGTTTCCTCTGTGGGTGTTGAACAAACACAAAGGTACCTGAGCGAGTGTCTGCAATAGGGATTGGTTAGCCGCCCTAGTAGACGGCTATCCTCGAATACGAGTGGCCAGCTATTATATATATGTATATGTATGCATGCATGTATTTGTGTGCGTGCTTATATATGTGTGTGAGTGTATTTACTGATGTATATTTATGTCTGTCTTCTTATATATGTGTGTGCCTGCTTATATATGTATGTGTGTGTGCGTCTGCTTATATATGCATGTGTTTGTGTCTGATTATATATGTGTGTGTATGATTATATGTAACTGTTTATATGTATATATATATATATACATATATATATATATATATATATATATAATATATCTGTGTGTGCTTATATATATGTATGTCTACATATATGTCTGCTTAATTATATATATATGTGTGTGCGTGTCTGCTTATTTACATATATGTGTGTGTCTGCTTATATATATAAATATATGTGTGTTATGCGTATATATATATATATATATATATATATATATATATATATATATATATATATATATTCAGTGAATGTGTGTATGTTATTGAATATATGTGCCTGTACTTCTGTGTGCCTTCTTCAAAATAAACTGTTATATGCATGTGCGTGTTTTTGCATATCTGTTTGTGTGTTGCATTGTTTGGCATGGCAATAGGATATCCGAAACTTTTTTTCCAAGTACGAAAATGAACATGATAACAAACCCTACTAATATCTCTAATACTCATTTATCCACATCGGAAACAACGTTCACTCTCCTAGTTGTGTGCATGTGTGCATCATTATGTCTGAGAGAGAGAGAGAGAGAGAGAGAGAGAGAGAGAGAGAGACCGGTATATATGTATATATATAATAAACGTTTTTTAACATATGGACCATGGTTCGAATTTACATGTGGATTTCTTTATCATTCAGAGAGAACACGCAATTCTCCATATCTGTGGCAACAAATGAATGTAAATTATAATTAGTTCTAAATTTGATATGGGCTGATAAATGTGGGAGGATGCTACTTATAAATATATGTCCTTCGTATATATATATATATATATATATATATATATATATATATATATATATATATATATGTCTGTGTGTGTGTCTGTGTGTGTGTATGTATGCATGAATGTGTGTGTGAATGAATGTGCCTATCTGATCAATCAATAAGTAACGACATCCTAAGGTAGATATGAACATAATGAGATAGATAGATATTTATCTTTGAATGAAAACGCCTGGAGTATTTATACACTATTTCGTATTAGTTTTCTATTAATTAAAACATGGTGTTACAGCCAGCGTAATCTTATTGAAAAATTTAAAAATCACAAAAGGAGTATGAAAAAAGGATTGAGATATTATGTGAAAAGAAAACAAATAAATGGGATAACACGCGTTCCTATATATATATATATATATATATATAGATAGATAGATAGATAGATAGATAGATAACTAGACTCGTTTCGAAAAACCCTCAAATATATATATATATATATATATATATATATATAACTCTTCAGTCTTTTTCGATGTATGCGAGTTAAGAAGATCAGAACCAACAGCCAGACTACCCGCATATATAATGCGGAACCCCACCACACTTTTTGGAGGACCCGAATACAATGAAATGTTGCACAGTATGCCACAAGGTCCCCAAACGACCCTCCGCACGTTTTGAATCCAGAGTTGTCCTTCTCCTAGACCGTTCTCCACCCAAGGCTATAGGACCCAGTCTGTCCTGCTATTTACCCACAATTGGGAGAGAAGAGATAGATTCATACATTTCCTAAGGGTATTAGCACGTAAGTAAATGTAATGAACTCGACTAGAATTCAAGCTCGGCTCTCAGTTTCTCAATCCGAGCCACTATCCATTACTTCACTATATATATATATATATATATATATATATATATATATATATATATATATATATATATATATGCATTTTATATATATTATTTATATATTATATGTGCGCGGTACTTATTTGAAAGCACTCAATATCAGTGATAGAATTGGACTGATGTGAGATTGTGACCCTGGGTTTCACGCTTTCAGGGCCACAAACTCACATTAATCCAACTATATATATATATATATATATATATATATATATATATATTGTGCTTTTGGAACTCTGTCCTCCTGGCAACCCCCGACCACGCAGTAGTGTCTGTAGATTTTTCTTTCCGATCGTCTATTAGGCAAGAACCCCCTATTGACAAGACATCTTTTGTTACCAACGCACTGAATGGAACTCATTTCGTGATTTTCTTCGCAACACTACTTGGAATTAAATTTATAATTTTTGTGTTGAAACCCGTCGAAAGCTTTGATGCCAGCTTTCACAGAAACCATCTCTTGGTTTCGCTCCTGCCTGTTCAACCACAGGAATAAATTCTTCCGGCTATATTAACGCGACAGTTCGAATCTTAACAGACACCTGTATCTGATTAAGTGAGTGTAAGCGTATCCTCGACATGAGAAAGTCGATATTTTGCTGATAGAATGAGATACCGTATAGTTTCTCACGGAAATTCTCTCTCGACTCTTCACGGGTATCTTTGCCTGTATTCACACCTAGAACTGAATGTCTACTAAGTTGTATGAACTTAACTCCGTCTATGTGTTCTACTGTCATCTCCAAACTAGATACCAAGAAGGCTTTTAAAGGTGCTTGACGGTATCTATGTAATTGTCCTTAGGAAATGTGATCCTGAACTGTCTCCTATTTTCTCCAAACTCTACAACAAATTCGATGTTGCTTCTTGTTGGAAATCGTTTTCTGTAGTTCCTGGCTTTAAGAAATTTGGCGAACCTTCTGATCCCTCAAATTATCATCCTATAGTCTTTTAACATTTTTGCAAAGTACTTGAGGCTCTAATTAACTTCGAATAGTTATCTCACTTTACACGACCTTCAGATAAACAATATAGATTTCGTTCATGAGGTCAAGTGTTAACGATTATTACTAAAGTTGTCTATCAGGCTTTAGATAGGAACGGTGAGTCTTGGGTTGTGGCTTTAGATAACTCGAAGGCATTTGATAAGGTGTGACATACTGGCCTTCTCCACAATCTCAAGGGCTACGGTGGCTCTGGCTGGATAGACTTGGGGGCCTTTTGATTTGATTGATTGATTCGTTTTCTACGGTTTATCAACCCTTTTTAGGTTACTCAGGGCCATAAAAATAGACTGTAGGAACTTTTTTTGAGATAATAATGGTTTAGTGATACAAGAATTACTAACTAAGCCATAGCTAGGTAACAAGTGGTAGATTCATTTCTTTTACAAGGGTATTTGCGCGTAAGTGAATATAACGACCTCAATGTGAAATGGAACTCGGCTATCCGATTAGCTAGTTCGGACCATTATCCATTATGCCACCCTCACATCCATGCTTAAAATACCTGGTATTCCTAAATGGTGACCCATCTAAGTACTAACCATGTTCAATGTTGCTTAAATTCGGTGATCGTACGGGAACCGGTATTTCAATGTAATGTGGCCATAAGCCCGGATATCTGACTTAATACAATCGTTCTAAACAAATTGAATAATGTGAATAATGATGGTCGTATGGAACGGCCACGCTTCTCGATCACATTAATGCGGCGGTACTACAAGGATCCATGTTTAGACCTACATAGTTTATTATTTCTTCAACAAACTTCTCCATGTCATCAATTCCCAACTAGGTATTTATACTGATGACATAATTATTTACTCCTGCTTTAATAGTAAGTCCGATGAGTAAAAACGAAACTGCTGTCATTTAATCATCATAAAGAACCTTATTTACCCTCCCTAAGCATTGCGTCTTCTTGGTCTCGCGTTTTCTACTGACATGAAATGGAGTGATTATATTGAATCAACTACTAGGTCTGCTGCTGAAAAGATGGTTCAGTGTATCGCGCAAGTGAATTTTTCTCGCTTTATATCCTGCTTTGGTCAATCGAGGTCGTGCCTTGTTTCAGTAAGAAAATGCGTGGTCGCACACTGCCAGGTTGACTAAGAAGTTTAAGAATGGACGATGTTGAGATTCTTCCACATCCACCATTCTGTCCCGATGCTGCTCTATTTCACTCAATGGTCCTCCACGACTAGCGATTCAAAACATTTGATCAAGTGAAAGAAGCTTGTTTACAGTTTGTTTTTATTATTATTATTATTATTAAAAGGGGACTGGTTTCTGGGGACAGATTCGAATGCTGGCTGATCGCTGGCAGAAGATCGTCGAGAATCATGGACTTTATTTTGAAGAATAATTGTTCATGATGCTACATAAAATTTTCTTGTTTTCTTTCCATTTCCTAAGTGAGTTAGGATTTTTGGCTAACTCAGTAATACATTGTTAGTTATATTATATGAGTCGTTCATAAAGTTATAAACACAAATATTGTTTAATGATCCCACCCCCACAATCTGGGTACGACAGCAACACAATAGATAACATCCCTATTGTCACCATTCATATATATATATATATATATATATATATATATATATATATATATTAATGACTGAGTAAGGATCCCTCCCTTCATACAGGTATTACACATATTCACTATTTTAATTATTTACAATTATATTTCATTCGTTCGTCTTTATTTATTCGTATTTTTTCCAATACTTGCCCAGTATTTTAGAGGAACACTGTTCGACAGACGTCAAGCGACAATCTTTTGAAAGTCGCTTAAAATTTATCTGATACAGGTCATGTTGTCATGGAGTAGTGATTAGCATTCATAACTACTAGGCAATGACATTGATCCTCACCGGATGTTTGATTCCTGTACTAGAATGACCTGAGCTGAATAAATACCTGGCTTGCTTCGTAGCTGCATATTTCTTACTTGCGCCGGAGGTCAGTGTTCAATCCCCAAAACAAAATGTTGGTTTAAAGCGGTGGTTCCTAAACGGTGCGGGTGTCCCCAGAAGTGCGGCGGAAGAGGATAACAGGTGAGCCGGAATGATTGAAAGACAATCAAAGATTTAGAAAAAATTCATATGCCAAAAATAAATATGATTTCAAAATTTAAAATATGAATATGGATTACTTTTAATTGCATGCACGATCCCCAGTATAAATAGTTATAAATAATTATTGACTGATTTTATCATTGTAATATTTTTGCATTATACCAACTATTAAGAATATAGGAATATGTCCGCAAATTGAAGGAGAGAGTTCTGATTTCGAATCCGCGGCTATCTACCCTCTCTCTCTCCCCCCTCTCTCTCTCTCTCTCTCTCTCTCTCTCTCTCTCTCTGTGTGTGTGTGTGTGTGTGTATTTTATTTTTAAATGTACTTTTTATCACATGAGGCGCAAGCAAATTTTCATCCCGAAAATTCGGCCAAGAGAAAAAAAATTGGGAACTATTGGTTTAAAGACATGCATGTTTTCATCACTTAGATGGTTTACACAGCACTATCTTTGTAGTTCTAAGTCTCACCATTTGGCATTGTCTCATGCTAAGCTAAGTTCGCTAAGTGTCAAGTCTAGTTCATATGACAGATAAGGCTAAATTGTTGTTCCGATGACGTATCAAGACGAAATGCCTGGCTTTCAAGTTGAATGAAAATGATTCGCGTATCTCAACAATAAATTTTCAGCTGTCCTCACCCTAAATCGCAATAGATGAACGTCAGGTCTGGTTCCCGACAGAAAATATCAAAAGTCTCACACGAATTTAATGTCCACCAGGAACCTTTGATCTAAGAAGAGTTGATCTGAGGTGACCTCGGTATGTACTGGATTCATCCTAAGCGATACGAAAGTAGGCTTTGTATTCAGTGTTACCTAAGAACGTCAAAAGACCTCGGTGTGCCGTGGGTTAATGTAGAAAGTAACTTTACAGCCGCCAAATGCAGAATCGTAAAATAGACAAGCAGTGAACCCAGTTGAACTTAGGATGTACAAACACAAGATAACCAGGTAACAAGTAATTATATAAACGCTCCACCTACGAGGAGAGAGAGCAGAATCCTTCATATTATCACAAGAAGAAAATCGAATGTTTCAATAAAAATCCGAAACCACATACCCTCGATTTGTCCGGCGTTACTTTGACAGAGTCCAGAAGTGAATAATCAGTTATTTGACGTTATGAAAAAAATTATATTTGTATTCTTATCAGACGTCATTAACATAGTATTACAAAATCATTTCCGTGCGTAAAAAATATTCCATGTTCGGTCTCGAGTGTTAAACATCCAATTCAAATATAAAATACGAAAAACATTTCTTGTTTATGATACTTCTTGTTGAATAAATCAATATTATTTCTCGGTCATACAGAACATAGATTGATAGATAGATAGATAGATAGATAGATAGATAGATAGATAGATAGATAATGAAGATTCATAAATATCAGATTAGTTGAATCTGGCACAGGAACGCCAACCGAAGACTAATGAGTCGTGAGACAAAAAATAGATAAGAGTAATCTGTTTCGTTCAGATTATTGCCACAAAATTAGTTCAAAGCCACATTATTTCGTTTGACAGGAATCAAAATGAATGCAAACATGCTGTGTATGAAATACAAGGCCAGAAAACGATTTTCTCATGCAATAATCAATATGTTGCCAAGATGTTTACATTTATTTCCAATGAAATAAAAATCCGTTCATTTCACATACTCGTCTTTATCGTTGAATATTAACTTCAAGATGAAAGTCGGCTCCCATCACTAATCTTTCTTTTTGCCAATGTATAATTTGTTTCCCTGTAGTTGTATCAACAAAATATATACACAACAGATCTATACATAATAATAGAACTATTTTATTCATAACGCATGCTGACCACTAATCCCACTTGTTGCTTTGCTTTCTATTTTTTAGATATTCTCAATATGTAACATACAGATTTCAAAATAAAAACAATGCAAAATATGTTGTATAATCATCATACCAACGAAAATATTTTACATTTTGATTTAGAAAATTATCTCAAACTAAATGGTAACAGCAAGAAAAGGGCAACGTAAACATTTGTCAATACATCTGGATCTGCGATAGCTGCACACCTATAAAATACTCCAAACTGGGAATTGGTCTATATCAAATTATGTTCTCTGTACATAGTAATATATTTTCAGAATGTCGTCTAGAAGTGCTTGAACAAGCATCCGCCTGCCCGATGCAAGAGAGTTTCCCAGATCTCGCCCGTCTCGATCCACTTTGAGCCACGAGGGAGGCTTCTCAGTCGCGCAGAGTTGTCCATCAAAACAAATTCACGAGAATGGCCTCGTTAACCCCCCCTCTCTCTCTCTCTATCTCTCTCTGTGACTTGGCTTTATATCTCTCCTAAACTCTTCAGCAGCAGGCTGTACTTTCACATCCATCTCTGCTACCGCCAGCAGGGGTAGAAAGGTTATAGGGAAAGAGGATGGCGATCCCGATACTCGGATGCGAGTGGGTGTCGCGACATTTACTATATATATATATATATATATATATAATGAAATGGACTAAGCCCGACCGGTATTTTAATATATTTTCTGTTTATACATCATATTTATAGATACAAATATTTAAGTAAATGCTCTGTTTATAATAAACAGTATTAACAACATTTACCGGCCTGAATGTCCGAGAAATTTCATAGAAAATAGGTGTCCTCCGACAGGAATCGAACCTGTATCTTACACAAAAACAGTAATTTGATTTTGTTAATCAGACGCTTCCTCTGTAGCTAAATCGTATAGCACGTCAGTCTATATGACGGTTCTGTGTAGGATATATGTTCAATTCCTGTCCGAGGACATATATGAGTTCATTCTGTAAGATAGCGTTTTAAAAAGAAACGGTCTTTGCAATATACCAGGGGTGGCCAAACCGTGGCTCGTAAGCCACATGCGTCTCTTTGTACTTTGAAAATGCGGCCCATGGAAATATGTTGGCTGAGCTTCTTTTTTCATCACAGATAATATAAAAGGTAAATAAGACAAATTTCAAGTTTTACAATTATTTACTGGGTATGAATTGTGATCTCATTAGATTAAAATGTAAGTTTAATATTAATATGTATATAACAAAAAAAAACGTATATGCAAATTTTGTTCATGTCTTCCGGCTATCAAACTTCTGAACTTATCGTATCTCTTACATTAAGCAAGTTTGGTCACCCCCCCCGCAATATACAATGCTCAATATCGAGAGATAGATGATTTTTTTTTATAGTAACAAATAAAATTAAATGTGCATTTATCCTCCCCTAACTCAATTCTAGGTCGGTCTTTCGACTTGTCAGAAGCACATTTATGCACTTCTTTCTTGAAACATTTTGGACTCTTTGATGTCTGTCATGATTCAACCTCGTTTCTCAACGACTTCCCTGATGTTCTGTATCCTTTTTTTTTTCTTCTGAAACGTCCCATTCGATTCTTGGTGGTCAGTTTCCATGCACCTGATATACCCATAGTACCTCAGATGTTATTACTCAATGCCTATCAGTTTACTCTTCAAGCCTATTTTTTGTTTAATGTCCTTATTCCTCGT